AGAGGACGGAGTGAGGGGAGGAGGAGGGGACAGGCAGACTGAAGAGTACAGAGGGGAATGATTGGGGGGGGGGGTGTGCCTTCTAGCGGATGAGACATCGCCATGGAGTAGCCTCCTCACCAGTCCGTAAGTACCTCTCGCCCTCACCCCAAGCCCTCATCATGCCCCGACGCACCCGGATGGCTTGAGGCTGAGGGGGCAGACGGGTGAAAGGGGAGCACATTGGGTGTTTTGTTGTGATAAAGAGAAGAAGCAGGAGGAGGTGGAGGAGAGACGGAGAGCAGGAGCGAAGGGGGATGGGCTAAGCTTTGTCAGTGCAGGCATATAGGCAGGCAGGCGGACGCACACCGACTCCTTCAGAGCAAATTCAATTCAGCTCCAGTTGTCTTGTGTGTGTGATGGTATTTATACATGGCTGCAGCTTGGACAGCAGGTGTGTGTGTGTGTGTGTGTATGTGTGTGTGTGTGTGTGTTTGGTTGCTTGTGTGTTGATGCATTGAGCCTTTAAATGTTCGTCTATGATCGCAGCAGCATGTTTTTGATGTCACTGATGTTGCTCTCCGCCCCTTCATGTACTGCCACGTCCTCACATACTGTAGAGACATGCAACCCTGGGCGCACACCTGCCTGCACACAAACGCAGCTGCATCTCAAGCCAAAAATAGGACTGGAGCCCCTCCTCTCTGTGTTGTTGCAGTGTCAGCATCTTAACAATTATGCTAACTGTTTGTTATTAGTTGGAAATTAAAGCAAAATGCAGCTTCTGTGATGTGGGATTTCAGCAGCTTGTTGCTGCCTCAGTGTCACTGTTGCATCATTCAGCTGTGTTACCTTACATGGACCAGAGCAGTGTCTGAAGTAGCATGAAACGTGCACACACACACACGGTTACACTTCAGTTATAAATAGTAATGTCGACAGTGTATGTAAATGTGCATGGAGCTAATAGCCTGTTAATCATTGAACATTACGATAAGACACATAGGAATGAGCTTCGCAGCTCAGAGAGACACTGTGACATGTTCGTTTGAGTTGCAGCTGCTCTGCACAACCTGCCGCCTCCTGTACTTCAAGATGCACAGAGCACAATGTTGCTGTCTCAAGTTTAGTGATTTTTACATTTTCAGATTGAAGATTAACTTGTTTTTTGAGATACATGTCCACATATCAACAGCAGGTATTTTCAGGAAATAAAATAACAGGCAAACTAATCCAAAATGAATTTAAAGCCTCAAGCATCCTGCTAATGTTCTTTGACATGAGCTCAAGCAGGTGTTCAGTAACAGAACCACTGGATTTTCCTCCATATTTAGGCAGCCCAGCCCCTCTGTGTGCTCCTCTCACTGAACTTCAGAGAAAAATTTTACTTTTTTCAGGTCTAGGTGCTTAGAGTAGAGTTATAGACCCACAGGTGTATGCTACTATTAAGCTTATCACTGATGCATCATTTTTAATGTTTTTCTCTGCAAAAGTTACAAGAAATTGCTGTAAGGAAATGTTTGGGATCATGTAGAGTCAGTGCAGCTGGGACAGTGTTTGTCCAGCCGAGGAGAACTGACAAGTTTATTTTTTTTAAATATATTTCTTAATTTTAACGCTTTGGTCACATCTTTGTCAAAAATCTTAAAAAAGACATAATTTAAGGGATCTGTTTAAAGATGTCATCTCAGAAATTCAGTATTGGGCAGAATGCAAAAGCCATGAAACTCATTGGAGTTAATTAGAAAAAGCACCTACCCCTGCTTTCAGTGTCACTTTGTACTAATTTGTATTTTGTAGAATCACACAAAACCACTGTGTCACAGTCAGAGTATCCCACCATATGTACACACAGAGGTGGGTTTTGGTGCTCTGTCACATGACGGAGGAGTGTCACCCTCTCTGCTTTGTGTTGGTCTGTGTAGAGGAATGAAGTGATGTAGGTCACTGACCTGAGAGCAGAACTGGAATGCAATCTCCCTCCCAGACTACACCCAGCTCTCCGGCAGATGTAGGTCAGCCCGCAGCTCGGCTATAATGGCTCCTGTTGTGTCGTATGTGAGAATGATAGCGACTCTTCCCAGACACTGTGACAACCCTCCACCGTGCTAATCTGAGCCGAGCGTAGCGCTAACAATGGCTGGGTGATGGGTGTGATTCTCACTGTGGACGGCCACGCTCAACATTTCTGCTCCGTGACATAAGGTTGTGTTCACGCTGCATCTCAAAGTGTCCCAGTTCAGATTTCAAATGAGAAGTTGAGCAGATCTGATAGTTTGAACAGTGAAAAGCTTCTTTTCAATTACAGTCTGTGCAAACTTAGATTCAAAGGCCTTGGAAACTGTTAATTCAAACACTGAAATGAGACTTTTGAAGCATTGCCATAACAAAAGCTAAATCTTGGAACAGTAAATTGAGACCTTTGGTATCAAATAAGTTAATTTGTTTTGAGGCTGAATGTACAGATATACTGTAGTTGCAGATATTGTTGTAGCATCGATTGTCCCTTCAGTCCACTGATTTATACCAAAATCAAAGAATATATCTGTCAAACAAAGCTGCTGTTTGGCGAAGTAGTAATCCAAATGCACTACAGCATTTTAAGGTTCTAAGATCACCTGTTGATTGAAGAGACCTTGTTGTAATAAAGGATCTGAGCCTTGGGACGTTAAAGGAACATATTTGCTCCCACACATACTCACCAGAGCACCAAATGTGAATTAATCCGCCACTGAAAATAATCCCCCAAAATATACTATTCCCTCTTGTTTGAGTGACATTTGCTGACAACTACAGTGACCAGCTGTTTTAGGGAGTTACTGTGTGTACATTATGGACTTTTGAGACATTTTTAAAGATTTTGATATTCAATAGGAACCAATGGGTTTGTGGCTGAGAGCCACAGAAAAAACCCACCCAAAAGTTTTGTAGGAGTATCGCAGAGATGACACATTAACTGACTTTAAGTCTTTTTTCATTGGTATCTTCTAAGAGCTACAGTGCTGCTTGAAAGTCATGAAACCTTTCCCAGAAACCTGGTCACCTTTTTTTGCTAAAAAACATTTAAAGAACCTTATTAACCAGACATCATCCAAATCCTAATTTGTAAAGAACACTTTCCATAACTGGACACACACACAAAAAGCAAGATATTTTGTCCATTATGTAGTTTAACACGAAATGTGCGTTTTATTTCACAAACCACTGAAAATGCTAACCATGTGAGCAGAAAGTATGTGAAGCCCTCCCAATTTAGTAGGCTTGGTGGGCTCCTCCTTTTGTCAAGCCATTACTTGCAACAGAACGTCTTCCTGTAACCTCTAAACCAGTACTCTCGCATGCTGCTCATGGGATTTATTAGCCACTATCCTCCTGCGAACTTCAGCCAGTTGTAGAGAGGTTGGATAGGAAACAGTCTGGCATTCTACCATCTGTCTTTCAGGTCTCGGGCCACATACATTCAATAGGATTTTGAATTCTGGACTAGTGTACTGGCCAATTCTATGGAGTGACGAATCGCTGCGTGCCTGAATACCATCCTTGTTAGTTTGCATGGAATGCTTCGGGTCTTGTCTTGTTGCATAATCATTTTCCCGTTCCAGCTCAACTGTTGACTGAGGGCAAGGAGATGCTGGGTGCCAGAATTTGTTTTGCATATTGCCGAAGAATTCCATGGTCCTGATAATATGGAGTCGCCCATTCAGAAGGCAGAGAAGCAAGCCCCGCAGACCTTCACATTCCCCACCACCCAGCTTCACTGTAGGGAGAGGCTTCTTTTCTTCATTGCAGTGTTGGCTTGCTTCTCCTAAACATCGGCAAGTTTTGATTGTGACACAGAATAACTCTACTTTAGATTCATCTGTCCAGAGAATGACTCCCAGAGAAGGCCTCTAGGTTTGTCTAAGTGCTCTCTGGCAAAGTCTGAAACGGGCAGCCTTTGTTCTTTGAGAGCAAGGCTTCCTTCTTAGCAACCCTGTCCATGAAATGCCATTGGGCTATTTCAATTTTCGTCTGACGTAGACGCATGCACATTGTGTCCCAGATGCTAACGAAGAATGTCTGCAACTCTGTAGAGGTGATGGTGTGGGTTGGGCCTTACCCTGATTTATTATTTTTCTGGTGGCTCTGGTGAATAGTTTTGATGGGCGCCCACTTCTAGGCAGAGTTGCTGTCATGTGAAGGCCCTCCATCTTGTAAATTATTTGGTCTTACAGCCGATGGATTGAGCTGGAATCTTTTGGAGATGGTCCTTATATCCCTCCCAGACTGGATGGGCTGTCACTACCCTCTCTCATGTCCTCGATATCTCCTTTCTCTTGGCATTGTTGATGTGTATGGGACCCAAGTTGGTTTGGTTGGTTCCTCTCTCTTTTAATTAGTGCAGGCCAATCCCTTTCCCAAGGATGTTCATTTCATTGGTCTACTGAAATGATTAATTAGGCACTCAAATGTATTTCACCTGAGTCTGTTACCTGCTTGACTTAACCAATGCAGCTGGGGATTCACTTACTTTTGCACATGCACTAATTCCATGTTTCATGTAGTTTTTGGGCTACTTAAACAAGTTCCACTAAAAAAGTACAAGCAATTGATGAAACATATATCTGACATTTCATACATAAAAACTGGTGATGATAAAATAAGAAAATCATGGTAAACAACAGAAACATCTGAACTGCTCAAGGGGTTCACATACTTTCAAGCAGCACTGTATATGAATGGGTGGAAGGATGAAAGAACCTCAAGCAAGTCCCGTTGCTTTTGTATTGCTCTTAGACGTACCTTGACCTGGATGGCTGAGAATCTCACAGAGATATCTTTTGACTGGATGTACAAAGTTGATGTGGCCAGTTTTATGTTGAACTAGTGTACCAAAATAATTTCTTCAAAATGCTAAAGTAGGAAAGAGAAAGAGGAATTTTCTCGTATCAGAACTTCTTAAAAGTTACAGGCTTTAGTAGAAATTATATCTGAATGGCTCCAGTGGCACAGTCTATAACATGGCACCTCTCTTTCTGCAGGGTGAGGAAGCTGAAGGAGACGCTGGTGACGGTGCAGCAGCTCGATAAGAACATGAGCAACCTGCGGACATGGCTGTCTCGCATCGAGGCGGAGCTGGCCAAGCCGGTGGTCTACAACATCTGCCACAGCGACGAGATCCAGAGGAAACTGGCGGAGCAGCAGGTGGGCAAAGAAGGAAGGATTTTTAATCTAATGTAATATTTAAGCAGCTTATTACCTTCAGTTTCCATCTGGTTAAATGTCTTTTATATATTAGTTAACTTCAGCTTTCCTTAGTTTAGCTTCACAGATCAACAGATCAAATGAACAAATTTGCTTGGACAGACATGAATTTCCTGGTTGAATCATCACTACACAGATCAACAGCTGTGTCCGAAAATCAATGTTTATTTTGGGGAGGAAAGCCTGTGGACATAAAAACTAAAGGTTCATTTCAGTTAAAATATCCCTCTCAGAAACCTGATAAAACATTGAGAATGGGGGACTCCACTGACTTTACATATGAGGTTCAGTTGTATAACATCTTCTGCGTCTTTGAGGGAAGTTTTAAAGTATAAGAAAATAACCCTGATCATGTCATTAGAAGTTATTTGGACTTGGACTGAAGAGTTAAATATTTTAACAAAAAGCCTAATGCAGTAAGTTGGAGGTTGAAATTTAAAAGACATGAATATTTACCAGACAGTGAGGGTGCTGCTATCAGGTTGCATTAGGCCAATTGGGGGATCTAGTGCTTTTGGAGGTTCATCAATACAGGTACCAAGATATCTCAGTGTCTGCTACAGTGATTTTCATCACTTCAGATGTTCAGTGACAAATTAATTCAGAAATTATGGCTCAATTTTCTGCTCCCAATTACAGTGACAAAGCATTCCGAATCAGCCACATCTCTGGGTTCGTATCGCAGAAACTTTCTAACTTGCAGATGCTAACGGGTCTTAACTGTTTAGTAACCATGGTAATGAAGGTTAGGACTCGATTCAGGAAAAAAGGACATCACAGATGAATAGTTCCTATCCTGACTGAAGACAGGAACTTTGGGATAACTGTTAATCTGTTCTAATGTTCACTTTTCCACCACTTAGCTAATTAGTTTTATCCATATCACTGCTGTTGTATTGTTCCTTTAGAGTCACATGGCAGACTCTAACACCTTAGCCCGCTGTCTCTCTTTTATCTCCAGGGTTAGTGCTGTTATTAATTTCCCTACACTTCTAACTAACCTGTCTTGATGTTAAGCCTCTGTTGTTGTTTTTGTTTCTTTCTTTGTACGTTTCAATGACAAATCAACAAAAATACCTCAGTGAGAGGAGATGAGAAAAGAAGCACCGGTTGCTAGGTAACAGATGTAAAAGTTGATAACTGATTTTGGATTGAGTATTTAGGATTTCCTAACCTGAACCAAGACAGGATGAAGTAAGATAGGAAAGGATTACTAAAGTTAGTTAAGATTTGCCTTAGTATTAGCAATTTTCCCTTAATTTAAGAAGTTTCTGTAAAATGGCCCCAGATTCCTGCCTCTCTCTCACTTCCTCTCCATCCCCGCTGAGGCTGAGGCTCAAGGGTAAAATAATTGAGACTCCCATACTTCTATGTGAAGGAACAATGAGTTATCAGTAAGAGAAAGGTTTCAAAAGGGAATTAACAGTGAGGAAACATATAGCTCTCTGTAGCTAGAGACACTTCAGGGCACTTTGAGGGAATTTTAGAGCAGGAAGTACCTCATTCACTCACTGATGATACAACCCATACTTTAAAAACCCTCCATGTTATGTCCGCCCTGTAGAGGTCCAACACATAATAACTGAAGACTTGAGTAATGTGTGCTGCAAAGTGAACTCTCAGCAAGCTGCAGGAAGAGAGGGGCATTTGTGAAGGAGGAAGCTGGGCTGAGAGATGGTAAATGCAGTGAGAGGCAGGCCTCAGAGGGTGGTCCAGAAAAAGGAAATGGACTTCAGCCTGTTTGTCCATTTGTAGTCTGCCGCTTTACTTTACTTTACTACTTTACTAAGTGGAGGAAAGTTCCTGGTTTGAGAGGAAGTGGAGGGGCAGAAAGGCTCAGGGGGAGAAATAATAAATAAATGATAAATAAGATTTGGTCTTTCAGTTACAGCAGGCTGTCTGCCTCCCTGCCTTCACCAACACCATGATCACATCTGTTCTGTTTAATCAAAAACTGCCTTTTGGTGATAGGACAGCCACATTAGACATCAGTAGACTACAGTGGAATCTGTGGCCACTCGACATTTTTTGGCACACTGATATCACTAAACTAAGTGTCTTTATGTTTTTGGCTCATGGGTATTCATTGTGTCAAATAATTACTTATTAAATAAGGATTTTTTTAAACTGTGAATCATGCAAAGCTGCTCTAGTGGAGTCCCACAATAAAATTACAGAGCTGGAAATGAGCATAATATGTCCCCTTTAAGATGATTTAAGATGACCTAACTCTCTTAGATGCTGGGCGCCACTGATTGGTTGACAAGAGTCATAGTTTTTCTGACAGGTGTAAAGAACTTTGAAAGTGCAGTGCTCTGTCACAAACGTGTCAGACAAAGTGCTTTATGTAGCTGCTGACAGTGATGAAATGGCTTTAAGTGAACTAGAGTTGGATATTTCGTAGTCTAGTTTTATGATGGATGTTGTGGTCAAAACAGGTGGGCGCTCACATTTCACATCACATTTTAACCGTCTGTAAATCTGAGCTGGTTTCTGCTTTTAAAAAATCAGTCTGACTTTGAGCTGATCTGCAAAACAAATTTGACTTAAGTTTCCTGTCTGAATTTGGACAGAGAGATGTCTGAGGAAGAGGAGCACATGTCTGAAGAAAGGAATAATTCCTTTCACAATGACAGAATTGCAGAAAAATGGAGTAAAGAAATATGAGTGAATTAGTGAGAGCGAGGAACAGATGGAGAGCCAGGCGGGCTGAAAGAGACGGGACTTCTCCTGTTCTTCAGAAAAAGGCTGCAGCTCTCTCCATTAGTGGATGAGGGATGGCTGAAATGACTCCTGTGTGGATGGGCTCTTTAAGCTTTCAACCGTCACCATGGCAACCCAGAGAGTGGTAACTTTTGAACAAACAGGAGCCGACAAAAGTGCTGTCAGGCCTCAGAGGGAGCTACACGTGCACACACGTGCACACACACGCCGAAAATCACAATGAACATAAAACAGAGGTGCCCCAATTTCATACTTGTGCTAATAGCATATAATGGACATTATACGAGGCTTTACAGTGAATTGTTTTTGCAATTAGTAAACAACAAATCAACATATTTCACAGTTTACACAAACCGGAAATGAGACATTACAGGTCAGTCAAACTGCAACTATGGAATATTACTGCTAATTAAACTTCATAAAGAGACAGAAAAATGTCTTTTATTTTTTTGTTTTCCAAAATGTTCAATGGATTTTCATCTTTTGCAGCTATAAGTAGTTTCCCATTTGCTGTGTGCATCACATCGTGGGACAATGGTGTAAATCAGCAGCACATTAACATATTTTACTTTGCATACTGAGTTTTTAAAATATGCAGAATTTTGTCACTTTTGTACTGTGAACACACTTCATACTCAAAACATCAAATGTGGGACACATGTTACACATGTTAATGTGCTTTTCATGAACACTTCTGCCCCACAAGGCAACACAGATAAGAAATGGAGGAGCTGCTCATGGCTGTAAAACATTTAGGCAACATGCTGGTGGTGAAACGGCCCCATAAAGATTTCTGAAAACAAAAGGTACATTTTAAATCTTTGGCAAACCGTATTGCTTCCTAGCTGAGCTGCAAACCTCCGTCCTTTGATGCTTGAAGACATTTGTTGACAGCTGCTACAACTTTATCATTAAAGTCTTTTTTTTTTTTAATTTTTAAGCAAAAAGCCAAATTGTTGATTCTGGCTTCTCTGATGTGAAGATTTTCTGCTCTTACATGTATTAAATTATGTTAATTTATAATCATCTATAGTACTAAATATGTTTGTTATGATTATAATGACCCACTATTTTCTAATGTTTCACAGACCAAACAACCAATCAAGAAAATAATCAGCAGATTAATCAGTAATGAAAATAATTGTCCGTTGCATCAGGTTGACAAACAGTCTTAGTCCGCTCACTAGGTTCTTCCACAGCTTTAACTCTCATGATCTTAATCAGCAAATGGAGTTGGTTCAGTTGTAATCATGTGACTTAAATATGAAGCTTCAGTCACACGGTAACAGATGGTCGCACATGTGCAGAGGTGATCTTCTCTCTTCAAAGATGGTCAGTGGCATCAGCTGTGGATAGCTGCCTTCTCTCTGACTTGATGGATGATGAGTTTAACCTCTTCCCAGTCGACCTACTATCACCTGACTGAAGATCCATACTGTGGTCACTTATAACTCCACTGCTGCTTTTACGAATGTAGTGAGGACTTTTTGTGCTTGTCTGCGCTTCACATTCAGATTCTGTGTTATAGTCATTCCACTGTTGCACTGGGAAACTCTTACTTCTAAATTATGGTCAAGGTCTGGAGCATTTACTCTGGATAAAGTGTGTTATGTGGCTTATTTGTCCAGCTCAAAATGACCATGCTAGGAAAACTAGAATATTGTTTTATCGATGTGTAAAACTCCATGTGATTTCCATCGATGAGCCCCGGTTTGTTTACTGACTGTAGATGTGATCGAGATGTTTCTGTGCGGTTTGACCTGCAGGACCTGCAGCGGGACATTGAGCAGCACACGGAGAGCGTGGCGTCTGTTCTGACGCTGTGTGACGTCCTGCTCCACGACGCCGACGCCTGTGGCAGCGACTCAGAGAATGACTCGATCCAGCAGACCACACGCAGCCTGGACCGTCGCTGGAGGAACATCTGTGCCATGTCCATGGAGAGGAGGATGAGGTGAGCAGTTGTGGGATGTGCAGTTAGATATGCACCAAAATAAATACACTGATCTCATTATTGCAAAATAAGAGATGACAGGGTGACTCAGTAAACCAACCAAAAGTGGAGACTGTTCTTTATGTAAACCAGCCGGTCACAATAAATAAATGTATCACATGGTCACTGCAGACTGACACTGGTAGATGTGAAGCAGGAGGCTGCACAGGTTTTATCATCTTTTTTTTAAGCCAGATAAATAAAGAAGGTTAAATGAATCTTCTTGTTGTTGTCAGGATCGAGGAAACGTGGCGTCTCTGGTGTAAGTTCCTGGACGACTACTCTCGCTTTGAAGACTGGCTGAAGACAGCTGAGTTCACTGCTGCCAACCCAGACTCCGCCGACGTCCTCTACACCAGCGCCAAGGAGGAGCTCAAGAAGTTCGAGGTCAGCAGACATCCTTTGTCTGTTTTTTTTTTTTTTTTTTTAGCAGTCTTTCACTTTGGCAGAATTCTGGAACAAGACGACTGGAGGCAAAGTGATGCCAAGAAAGACCTTAAATTCACAGGAAGATCAGTCTCATGTCCTGTCACTGTCTTCCAGGCAGCGGTTGACTGGTCCAAAACCATGACAGACCTAAATCATAGCAGCTTAAAGTTTGTGTGAAGTTTTCTCCTGATGGTGGCGCTACAGGGAAGGTTTGTTCAAATCAAGGAGTTTACCTAGTTGGTAACAAAACCGTGCCCTACGGATTTCCATATCGTTGATCTTTTGATGTGGAATGAACCTAAAACAGTCCAAACTTTCAAAAGTTTCACCCTCTGGGGAGAATAGATTTAAATTGGTGAACTGCTCATTAGATGCAGTTTCCTTATGTAAATGATGATGTTTTGACCAGATGGTGGCAACTCTGGAAAGGTCCAGCTGATGACCCAATATTCAAAATCATCTGCAGGTGTGAAAGCTGAAGTTGAGTTCAGTTTGTAAGAAGTTTATATTTTGTGCTTTACTTGTTTGACCTGCTTGGAATAGCAGATTACGGCGACACTTTTAACGCCTCGTCTTATTCACTATTTGTGTGAGTGCAGTTTCAGGTTCAGGTGTCCTGTCATGCTCAGACACAAAGGTAACCTTTGATGTGTCGGTCTGGATTAGAAACACAGATTAGTGTCCGGTAATCTGGACTCTGCTGAGATGCCCTCATCTCCACAGCAACAGGGATCCAGTTTAGATGCTGTTGACTTCTAAACGCAGTGGAAGACCACTGACTGACCTATATACAGCGCTGGCTGTCAGGGACATGCAATGGAAGCTGTGGGAGCATCATCATCATCATTAGAGAAGCAAATCAGTAGAAGGATGAAGGTTCACATCCATAAACTGACTGGAAAAGGTTGTCAATCCTCTCTGAGCAGCTGGGAGTGGAGGCCTGTTGTCTGCTTATATGACCTTATAATAATGACATTAATATAAAAAGACAGAAACAGATGATGTGTTCTTGATGCCTGAGCACGCCTGATGCCTGATGTTGCTTCCTGTTTCCCTACAGTCCATTGACCAGTTGTCTGACTTTACAATAGATACTATGTTGAGAACACATATTACCATAATTATTCTTACAATGAATTTGATAAAATTCCGTATTTAATCTTAGTTTTAACAAAGTTTCTCCAGTTTGTCGGTGCCCAAAATACCTTCTGAAGTCACAGAGAAGAGAACAGATCGTTCATTTCCATGAACTGTGTCGCAGCTGGGCTTTTGTTTTTTACATCATGCAATACTTTTAAGTTCTACTAGTTTCCCACATGGAAATTTTAGCAGATAAATCATACCCTTTCTCTCCTTTTCACTTGAATTATTAGCTTAATATGTGCAGTCCATGAATCTGATATCAGGGTCATCGAATGTGTGACAGACAAACGTTCATAAACTGTAAAGAAATGTGCTCATCCTGTATTTTCCTCTCAGGCGTTCCAGCGGCAGGTTCACGAGCGGCTGACTCAGCTGGAGCTGGTCAACAAACAGTACCGCCGTCTGGCCCGGGAGAACCGGACCGACACCGCCAGCAAACTCAAGGTCATGGTCCACGAGGGGAACCAGCGGTGGGACAGCCTGCAGAGGAGGGTGGCGGCTGTGCTCCGCAGGCTCAAGGTGAGTGGAGAGGGTGGAGGTCAGAAGCATAGTGGTTGATTTTATATGAGCAGTGTTTAAGGACTTTAATTGCACCGACTCAGCCACTAAAACCACGAAGGATCTTTAGAGCTGTGTTTGAAAAATTCCTCAAATAATCTGAACCCTAATATCTAGAAATCCAGTGACAACAAACTGCACATATCACAGCAGAGGAAGTTTTTCTTTGAGAATGAAAATTAAAAAAATAAAATGAGTCAGACAGAAATCAGAGCTCGAACATCAGCATTCCTCAAACCTTCCCAGCAGATCTGTATAGTATCTCCCCGCCCTCAGCTCCACCCTAAGCCGTCAGGATTTGGGTCACCTCTCAGACGGCGACGAGGCACGAGGCGTCATGTTGGCAGGAAGCTGTTTTCATGGCGGCATGTGGCTCCGAGCAGATGGAGGATGTTTATGTTGCATGTAATCAAAGAATCCAGCTGATTGGTGCTGGTTGACCTCTGCAGGCTCAGCCCCCATAAGCAACATTCACATCAGACTCCAGCTAAAAACATACAGTCACAGTAATAAAAAGAGACTGGCACTGTAAGAACAATAATAATAATAATAAATATCATTTAGTTTAGATTGGTTCCGTTCAGTGTTTCTTCATTATCCCACTGAGGTTTAACCCAGTCAGAGTAAGTTTAAAAGTGAACAATTTTAGTTTAGTTGATATTTTAAGAAGAACATCAAATGACACATAACTACAACATTGTCAAGTTTTTCATAAAAACTATCAGATAGTTTGGGAATTAAAAATGCTTCAACCCTAGTCTGACCTGTGACATTAATATCTCTGACATTCATGAATACCTGCATGAATACTAATATCTGAACAGCATTTAAATAGTGATCTCCGCCCTCTGTGCTCCTGCAGCACTTCACCTCTCAGAGAGAAGACTTTGAGGGAACTCGTGAGGGGATCCTGGTCTGGCTGACAGAGATGGACCTGCAGCTCACCAACGTGGAGCACTTCTCTGAGAGCGACATCGAAGACAAGATGAGACAGCTCAACGTAAGTCTGCCCCCATAAAGAGACGACATACACACTGCTTACTCTGGCCCCCTAAAAGACGGAAACATGTGCCGTGTCGCTGTGCAGGGCTTCCAGCAGGAGATCACCCTCAACACCAACAAGATCGACGCCCTCATCGTGTTCGGGGAGAACCTGATCCAGAAGAGCGCTCCTCTGGACGCCGTGCTGATCGAGGACGAGCTGGAGGAGCTACACTCCTACTGCCAGGAGGTGTTTGGCAGGGTGGCGCGTTTCCACCACCGCCTCGTCAACAGACGCCCGGTCAGTGCTACACAAGTGTTACTCTTAGAGATAAAAAGAGATGCAACGTGGAGACAGGTACAGTATAGTTTGAAGTGATGGCAGAAAAAAACTGCAGAACACAAAACATACACACAAACAGTTTGTGAAGTTTAATTTTACTTATAGTTTTTACAATAGAGTTGTTGTTTGTGTGTCTGCCTCACTCATGATGGTGCTCAGTGTTTCAGAGCTAAATATCTTTCCTCGTCCGTTTCCATGTTTTGAAGGTGCTGGAGGAGGAGAGGGATCTGTCAGACCGGGACACGGACCTGGAAGACTCACCCGATCTGACCATCGGGACTTCGTGGAGAGAAACGAGGAAGAAGGAGGAGGAAGTCCCGGCTGTAGGCGGAGTCTCGGCTGGACGTCAGGCCGTGTGCCACCTGCTGGCGCCTCCTCTGGAGCGGTCAGGGAGAGAGACCCCTGTCAGCGTGGACTCCATCCCCCTGGAGTGGGACCACACTGTTGACGTGGGAGGATCATCGTCACACGAGGATGATGAGGACGCCACCTTCTTCAGCGCTCTATCAGGTAACGACAGCTGCTTATTTTAGCTGTTAATTATTGTCATCAGCCGAAAGAGAAAGAGATTATTTACTGTACTCTTATAAAGAAGTACAACAAACACAGGTTTTTAGAATCCACTGTATTTCGATTGGTTTCTGTTTATCTTTGATTGATTGATTGATTGATTGACTGACGTGTTCAGACTTTATTTGTGCAGCACATTTATGAGCTAAAAAGAAAAAGGAGAAATCAAATAAAGCTGACAATTAGATACAATAAAAAAGATGCTATAATAACTTTAGCAAACAAAAATAACATTTAAGCAAAATTAAATAACAGATAAAATAGAAGAAACTACAATTTACAACATAGATACACTAAAATAAGTGAATAAAATAAAGTGTCCGACTAAAAACCATGTTTAATGAAAAGCCAGGCTGAAGAGAAATGTTTTGAGTTTATGTTTAAAGCTGCTCTCAGATCCTCGTGGAGCCTGTTCCATCGGCTCGAAGCATAGAAACTAAAAGCTGCCGGCGGACCTGAGGAGCTGTACTGGTTCATAGAGCGTAAGCATGTGAGACAGTTAAATCGGTGCAGAATTTAAAAATCAAAACAGTAACTGACAGGTAACCAATGTAGGTACTTGACAACAGGTGTAATGTGTTCTCTCCTGCTGGTCTTGGTCGGCACAGAACATATGAAGCTAACTTGGGTGATGGAAAAAGAAGCCCAGACAACAATAATCAATGAGGCGAATTCAAATTTCAGAGCATCCTTGAACACAGCAGCAAAGAGTTCAGAACAGATCCCTGTGTCCACCTGCTTTACTAAACACAAACAACAAAAACTGTTTTCTGTGACTGATATTTACAAGGTAATTTCCAGACTGCACGTCCTTGAAAGTAGAAAAAGAATTTTAAAAGTTTGAAAACTGGTCAACAATAATGTCAAATTTTGTCAGTTTGTAGTTAATAATTTGGATCTTTAACTCCAGGTGTTTCCTTTAGGTCAAAATGTTCCATCAGTTTGAAGTCGTAGATTACTGTTTTGCTCTCTTCTTGGCGTCCCCACTGTTCTGTTAACTGTTCATTTTCTGATCTTCCTGAAACCGCTTCGTAACGTGCGCAAAGCTCCATCTTTACAGAGCAGCTGTCAGACGCCCTTCACCTCTGCTCTCTCCTCCAGATGTGCAGGTCACAGAGAGCTCAGAGTCGTTTGTTAAAGCCACTGTCAGAGCAGTGGAAGGAGCCTCGGGTAGGCACTCTGCCTGCTGCATGCTACTGCATCGCTGTATGTTAATGCATCCCGTCTCCTAGCAACCCCAAACTCATCCAGCTGTACCCCACACATCCACATCCCTGATCTAATTCACAGACACCTTGTTTGTATCTTCACTTACAGATGCGTCTGTTCACTGCTGCAACTTATTATCCACTTTGACAAATGTCACAATCTTTGTTCATCAAGATTGAGTTTTGAAGTCATGAAAGTTGCATGAGACCGTGTTTTATTTTCTGCATTTCTGCAGTGGATTTGTGGTTTGTTGATAGTGTTTTTGCATGTTATTGACAGATACTTGAATTTCATGCATGTGTCAAATGGCTGATGGAAGAATTGAAAGACTGTTTGATAATTCAATGATGAAACTTGTGGCTTTATTGTTCCATTTTCTGTCTTATTGTTTAACACATTTTTCTTTTTCATTCTCTATTTCATTCTATTAAAAAAATTTTACCATCATTTTGTTGAAGCTTTTGCATCTCTCTCTCCTCAGTGAAGTCTGACCCGCCCAGCTGGCACCAGCCCAGCTCCCCAGAGAGGAAACGAGTTCCCCGAGAAATCATCCGAGGCCTGAGCTCGTCTCCCACACACACCACCAGCACTCCCTTCCACCAGCAGGGCTACGTAAGAACACACACATCGAGATCTACGAAATATTCCCATGTTAAAGGCTTAGTTTCCTCACTGTGAAACCAGCGTTTGATTGAATCTGTGTGCGTTCAGGTGAAGCTGATGTCGGAGTGCAGCGGCAGCATCAACACTGTGAAGAGAGTCAAGCTGATCCTGAACGATGAGGAGGATCTGGAGGACGCAGGTCTGACCAGCAGCACGGCCAACAGACAGACCAGCACAGGTACAGTGACAGAGATCAACACCAGAGAGAGAGGCGTCACTCTGTTTGACTTTGTGGAAACAACAGTCAGAGCTGATAATACAGATTGTAATATAACTTTAACATGTGATAGACCGGTTTGTGTGACAGAAGGAGGACATGACTGAATACTCACGTGATTATTTTCCCATAATCCTCTGGTTTCCTCAAACAAAGACAATGTTGCAACTTTCATGGGTCACATTTTTGTCATGAACCACACTGGCAGATTATTAATGAATGTCAGTGTACTAATTAGTTCATACAATGTCACTGAGCTGAGGAAAAATGTCCATCACAAGTTCCCACAAATCCTTTCAGCTTCGACCAACAGGCAAAAACTTACACATATTTAATTTTAAAAAGTAGTAAATCCACATGTGAAAGAAGCAGCACCAGGAAACAGTTGAGATTCTCTGCTTGATTATTGACTTTTAATCAATTGTCAAAATTGTCACTTGATTTTCTATCGACTAATTGTGTCAGCACTGATGTAAAAACATCATGTAGAGGCTGATCTTCTCTGTGTGTGTTACAGAACTCTCACAACTGCCTCATAGGCGGCGATTGGTTATGATTTTTATTTGATGTTAAAATGCTGCATTCATAGATAAACATTAGAAATAACATTTATTACTCAAATGCACATCACTCAATCCTGGGTTGATATTAACCAATTCAAACAAGTCATCCTGCTAATTTACTTTAAGAGGGACTCACATAGGTTGTACACAACGATACAGCGGTGTTAAAGCGTTTCCTCCCTCTGACTCTTGTTTATCTGCAGGTGTGATCCAGCGCTGGGAGCTGCTCCAGGCACAGAAGTTCAACAACGAGACAGACATCAAGCAGGACCTGGAGCAGTGGCAGAAGCTGAACTCTGACCTCTGCGATGTCACTTCCTGGTTGGGCCGGGTGCTGCCAGAGCTGGAGAGGCTGCAGCGGATTGCGCCATCCACCAGCATCCGAGACATCGAGGTCAACATCAGGAAACTAAAGGTAATGACATTCCCCACATTTCTTCTCAGAAATGATCCGTGAAAGATAAAATTGTAACTCAGAGACTCGGAAGTTGTTGTGAACACGTGAGTCTGAGAAAACAAGGGCCAGATGTCTCACATTTGTTCCTGCAGCCATACAGATGTTGAAGTGTGACCTTAACGCGACTCAAAAGCAGCTGCATCAAAGAGTCGTCTCCTCTCTTCTAGTCTTCTTTTGAGAACATGTGAATCCCTCTTTTGTTCAGGAGATGCAGAAAAGCTTCAACAGCTACAAGTGTCTGATGATCTCCGTCAACCTGAGCAGCCGTCACTTCCTGCGGGGCGACAGTGTCGAGCTGCGAGAGCTGCAGGAAGCTCTGAGCTCAGCCAACCTCAGCTGGACGCAGGCCTGCGGCGGCCTGGAGAGCTGGGAGAGGAGGCTGCACTGCGCACTCATGCAGTGTCAGGTGAGACATGGAGACACTCACTGCAGTTTGTGGTGGTTACAAAGCTTTGCTGTACGTCAGTGTTCAGAGAGCAGCAATAGCAGATTATCTAGTTTCACATGAACAATAGAAACTGATAGAAACAGGAGTTTAATATATGAACTGTTTCAACCCTTCTCACAATCTGATGTTTTGAGTTTTGTGAAAGATGAACAGCCTCCACATCCGTTACACTCTGACCTTTGTGTTCTTCTTCAGGAGTTCCACGAGACGCTGCACTCTCTGCTGTTGTGGCTCGCTCAGGCTGAGAACAAACTCTTCACCGTAAACGTCAGTGACCTGTTGACCTCACGCTCTGTCCTGCTGGAGCACCGGGACGCGCTGACGGTGAGCAAACGACCCATCAATTCATCCATCACTATTTTACTTCAGAATACATGTTTTCATTACAGAGAGGTTTCAAAGATGAATTGGTATTACAATACACTGCCGGCTCTTAATAAGATCCATTGATCATTAAGAGGATGGATGGAAACAAAGTTATCAGTCGTGTCTGTATATTGAACACTGTTCAGTCTCAGCCCTGTACCGAGTCCTCTGCTCTGCCGCCCCCTGCTGCAGGAGCTGCAGGAGGAGCTGCACGGTCGTCAGCGGCAGGTGTCCTCGCTGCAGGACATCTCCTCTCAGCTCCTCCTCGAGGCCACCGGAGAGGACAGTGTGGAGGCCAAAGAGAAGGTCCACGTCATCGGCAACAAGCTGCATCTCCTGCTGCGACAGGTGGCGGCTGACCTGCACGCGCTGCAGGGAAAACTGGTAGGTCCACTTTATGTTTACTTTATGAACACAAGGACTCTGCTGTGATACAGGTTCACAGCCAATGAGAGGCAGTTTTTTCTTGCCAAAAATGTCTTTATCTGAGGGAAAGGCAAAGGACAAAGGTCAAATAAGAGACGTGTAAGAACTCTGAGGCCTCTGAACTGGTTTGATCAGTTCCATCTAATGATCTATTTGTTTGTTTACCGTCTGTGTCTCAGGAAACCTGCTCAACCAGCTCTGAAATGGACAGCATCGGTCTGGGGACACTCAGCTCTCCTCTGCTGCTGCACAAGGTACAGCTCGGTGTTTACCTTCTGTCACACACACACACGTAAAAATTAGACACTTATCATGGGAGGAGGGTTCAATTTCAAAGTTTTACATGAGAGTAACTTAAGTAATGTGGTTCTAAAAATTCAGATTCTTTATTAAGTAACTACCAGCATGTAAAATACCCTTACAAATGTTACCTCAGTATTCTTATTAAAAATGTATCTTTTAGTATGAAAAATACTAGCTCCCATAATACAGAAAATGTCCACTGTGACTGTTATACTATTATGTCATTGATTATTGCTGCCGTTTGAGGTGGGAGCAATTTTAACCATTTAAGATTTCCTGTTTTGAAAGTAAACGGTGATTAACACCTTTGACGTGTGTTTTCCTTCAGGAGGAGGCTGGTCCACAGGCAGCTACAGTCAGACAAACGGCAACTAGAAGGTAACTTTTGCATTGATTTATTTTTAGTAAATTAGCTTCAGGATTCAGTTCAACCAAGTTACAAAAGTTTATATTCTCACTTACCTCTAGAATCTTCTCACCATGCAGATAGTTTCAACAAACACACCAAAACTATTTTCCTATTACTCTGGATAATCCACTGTTGTAAGGCATAAAAAAAGTGACAGTTTTCATAGAAACCACTTCTCTGGTAGAAAGTAGTTCCTATAAAAACTGTTCATAGTTCAGTCTGTGGATGATCTTGAGTAACAGATGTTGCTTTTGAATTTTTAAGTGTAATTTTCAATGCTATGAGCGGCACAGACTTTACTTACATTGTACTGGGGTGGATGCTTTTTGTAATTTGAGTGAACTGACCCTTCAAACAACAGTTTGACATTTTGGGAAATTCACAGCAAGAGTGAAACATTCCACGTGGCTACTGTATGTCCAAAAATGAAAAAGTAACAGTTTTACAGGAAGTTACAAGCTTTAACAATTTGCTTTTGGGCGAACAGCATCCAGGAGCGGGAACTTGCAGCCAGGTTACCTGTTTGCTAAGCTAAGCTGATCATCTCCTGGCTATAGCTCTGTATGAGTGTGGAATCAAGACTCATCTAACACGCACCAAGAACATTAACAAGCTTAGATCCCAAAATGTCAAACTATTCATTTAACCTTCACCTGTGTCTTTCATCTTAAACTAATAAAATCCACCTCTGTCCACATCCAGGGAGGAGAGGAGGGATTCTTCCCCACGCCGACCCTTCTTCTACCGGGTTCTACGAGCTGCCTTCCCTCTTCACCTGCTCTTCTTAGTGCTGCTGGTTCTGGCCTGCCTGGTGCCTCTGTCTGAAGAGCACTACAGCTGTACACTGTCCAACAACTTTGCACGCTCCTTCTACCCCATGCTGCGTTACACCAACGGCCCTCCGCCCACGTGAAACACCGCCATGATGCTCAGCAAAGAAAGTTTGTCTCCAGCTCCTCCTGACAAGGGAGAGGACTGAAAAAGGAACAAGCACGTATGAGGATGAAACCTAAAACGGACAAGTTCAAATACACCTGCTCCCTTCCACAAAACGACGACACCTGAAGGCCTCGTGTTTTTTGACTCTAAATTTTATTGGTGTATTTAAAAACGTATTTATTTGTGGTGCGCCACAGTAAAAGAAAAAAGAAGCCATATTATTGGTCTGTTTTAAGGTTGTGATTTTTTTTTATATGTAGATCTGCCAGTTAACGTCCCCACTGAACATCTTCAATATAAAAAAAAAAGGTCAGGATTTATTTTGATATCTACATTTTGTACGTTCACAACAGTCTGGTGTCGAGTTTGAAGGATAAAGGACACTTATTACCAAAGCATCCAGAAACTGAGAGGCACACTTGCCATTTTCTACCACTGCAGCTATTTTTACTGTTTTTCATAGAAGGAAGCCACTTGTTGATGATAGCACATTTTATACAGAGATGAGCTGAGGCATTTTTTGTTTTTGTTTGATTTAGGGTTATTTAACATCTGTAAGCTATGACTGTTTTTTTTTTTTTTTAAATAATGGCAGTGACTCATCTGCAGACATGCCTTTCTGTAGCCAACAAAACTACTGTATTTTATCAGATAACAATGTACTTTTAATGGCGTTAATTCATTTTTGTATATAATGGCAAACTACTGAGAAAGAAGTAGGTAAGTTATTGCTTTTGTGTATGAATGTATGTTTGAGTGTGGCACTGAAGCCTGTCAGATTAATTCAACATGGCGTTAAATAGTTTGAGTGCCACAAACATACAATATAAGACTGTTCATTGGTTATTTTGTAATGGCCATAACAGGAAGTTAAATGGCACTCCTTTTTCTCAGATTAAAGCTGCATGAAGCGATTTTTGATATGAAGATCTCAATAGCTAATCAAGTGTTTTAGCTAACATAGTAGCATTAAAAACTGCCTATTTACATATGTAGCAGATCACAGATCAACATTAGCATCCCACAGGAGACAGAGGTTTGATTTTAGTCATGCTATCAAAAATACCCGCTTCATGAAGCTTTTAAAGGGATTTGTTTTTGATCTGGTTACCATTAATGTAACAATGTGTTAAGGGGTTAACAGCACACACATTATGCTGCCATCTAGCTGTTAAACAAAGAAGGTGCAGCTACATCATCATGTCAAGAACTCTATAATCTGCCCCTTTAAGAATAATTTGATGTTGTTCAGAACTTACCCCAATGTTGTCCAAATTGGTCCCATGACTTAAGGCCCTGCAGGTTGTTGAACATTTAAAAAAGGTTAAAAACAAGTGATTATTTCAAAAATAATTTGTTGTTGGTGGTGATGTACATGAGGGATTTACGTGAATGCTGCTTTGAAAAACTTTCTTCCCTGCAGTTGAAATGAACTAGTGTCGAAATTTCTGTGATCATAGACTCTGAGTAGAACATGAATGTAAGCAATTCTTTGGGCACTGAATGTAGCTGTGTACATGCACAATCAAAGATCGTTAAATGTTTCTAATTTACATTGTTAATATCTATATTACAGAGAGGATTTTGTGACATTTGATTTGAAACTCAGTGTTTGATCCTTATTTTTTGTACACGACCTCAGACTCTGCTCAGAAGGCCGACAGAACAGAAACAAACAAAAATGTGTAAAGTTTGATTTATTTTGTGAACACTTATTTATAGGATGTATTGATTGTCAATAAACTGTGTTTGCCATGATTTGCTCCTGTATGTTTACTGTATCACGTTTTTATAAATTTTTATACCTTACTATACTATGACGTTTTTATGAATTTTTATGCATTAGTATACAATTTTGTTTTTATGACTTTTTATGCCTTACTATACTATGGCGTTTTTATGAATTTTTATGCCTTATTATACTATGAAATTTTATGACTTAATATACTGACGTTTTATGCCTTACTATACTATGACGTTTTTATGACTTTTTATACCTTACTATACTATGACGTTTTTATGAATTTTTATGCCTTACTATACTATGACATTTTTATGACTTTTCATGCCTTACTATACTATGACGTTTTTATGAATTTTTCTGCCTTAATATACTATGACATTTTATGACTTATTATACTATGACGTTTTATGCCTTACTATACTATGATGTTTTATGACTTTCTACACTGTCGTTTTTATGCCTTACTATACTATGACGTTTTTATGACTTTTTATGACTTTTCATGCCTTACTATACTATGACTTTTTATGCCTTACTATACTATGACATTTTTATGACTTTTCATGCCTTACTATACTATGACGTTTTATGCCTTACTATACTATGACGTTTTTATGA